CCTGGAAACTGATGGCCGGGGCCCATCCTCTGCACAAAACAGTCGGAGGAGCTGGAGAACAAAAATTGACAGAAGCCCGTGACCTGTCCCTGACTTTACTTAAACTAACCATGACAAAATGGGGAGGGGGGGGGGTCCAGCACCCACCGCAGCTCCAGCTTCAGGGTTTCCTCCCCGCCACCGTGGTGGCTGGGAACTGCGGGGTGCCCCCTTCGGCACCCACAGTGACTGGGAACAGTGGGAGCCCCCTGCCGCCTGCCACGGCTCGGCGCTCTGGGACTGGCAGCCGGGAGCTGCACGGGGCCCCGCCGCGTGCAGCAGCTCAGAGCTCTGGGGTCCCCGCTGGCTGACAGCTCCAGCCCCGCTGCCCTGGGGCTGAAGCAGAAAATGTCACGGAGGCCTCTGGAAGTCACGGATTCCATTACCTCCATGACATAATCGTAGCCTAAACAACCCTTCTGTGTCACATACTGGCTGAGTCACTGCTGACTGCGACGCTGGGGGGCAGGGCACTTTGGGGGGGCGGGTATGGCTTTCACAGGTGTATGATTCAGGGGCACTCCCTGCGGGGAGCTCGCGGTGTGAACAGGGGGCTGAACGCTCCGAGGTCAGAGGCTGGCCCTGGTGAGAGTCTGGCCCGAGGGGGGTCACTGCAGGAGGGGCCTGTCTGAACTTCATTCCGAGCCGTTCCAGAGCCCCCAGCCTGGTGCCCGAGACACGGTGCTGCCTAATTTCCCACTGGGGTCTTTCTGAGCCTGATCTCAGGGCACAGAACGGCTTCCATAGGAGGCGAGACTAAAAGGATTAGGGCCGTTCAGCTTGGCAAAGAGACGACTCAGGGGGGATGGGACAGAGGGCAGAAAATCATGCCATAGGGTGGGGAAAGTGACCAGAAAACTGCTATTTCCCCTGTCCCAGAGCACCAGAATTAGGGGTCACCCAATGAAACGAACAGGCAGCAGGTTTCATACAAACAAGAGGCTGTGGTTTTCCCCACAGTGCACAATTAACCTGTGGAACTCATTGCCAGGGGATGTGGGGATAGGCAAGAATATAAGGGGGTTCAAAAAAGAACTAGATAAATTCCTGGAGGATAGGGCCATCAATGGCAATTTGCCAATTGCTCAGAGACACAACCCCCTGCTCTGGGTGTCCCTAAACCTCTGTCTACCAGAAGCCGGGAGGGGAAGACAGGACTGGGTCTCTCCAATGTGGCCGTGTTCTGGGCACTGCCACGGAAGTTCTGCTTGTGCCACTGTCAGGGACAGGACACCGGACTAGCTGTGGCCGCTCTTCTGTTCCTAACAGGCTTCTTGATGGTCCCACCCACGAGAATTATATTTTTCCCGTTTGAAATAAATAAATAAATAAAATTCCAGAGAGTTTGGTCTCCAGTGTGTTTTATTCAGTGCAGCAACATCCAGTAGCGTAGCTAGTGGGGTGCAGGGGAAGCAGCCGCTTCCCTCAGTACGTTTTTAAAAAGCGGCACGCCTGCCGGCCAGCGCTGACCTCCTGCAGGCAAGGGGGGGCAGCACGGCCGGAAGAGCCATGGCGAGGGCGCAGCAGGGCAGCCCGCAGCGTGGCCGGCAGCCAATGGGGGGGCGGCCGGAGGAGGAGGAGGAGGCGGAGCCAGGGGGGGCGCACCATGGCGGCCCGCACAGCGTGGCCGGCAACTGCGGCCGGAGGAGCGAGGGGGGGGCGCGGCCAAGGAGGAGCCGGGGGGGGGGGCCCTTTTTTATGTTTGCTCCCCCTGCTCTTTGATCCTGGCTACGCCACTGGCAACATCAAGGGGATGTGAGTCCGTCCTGGAGACGAAAACCCGTGCGCGGGGGAGAGGGACTAACGCAGGCTGCAGGGTGTATTTCAGTGCAATGTCGCCATTGCACTGGGTGGGGAATCAGGAGAGAAGCTTCAGCAGGAGAAGCCCAGCGAGGGCCGGGAGGAGGAGCCCGGCTGGTCCCGGAGTCATGCCCGCCGCGCCGGAGGCCGCTGTGCATTTGGCCGTGGTTAGATCTGCACTTATCCCTGCGAAGGTCCCTGAACCCACTCTTATATTGGTGCAGATGGACTCGGAAGCGCAGCCCTTCACGACAGTCAGCATTTGACTTCCACCTGCGTGTTTGGGAGAAACAGGCGATTGTCAGGGGAGCAGCTCCACTCCTCCAGCTGGACTAGGACACAATGGCCTCCCCGCTCCTCACGGCCCCACCAACCTCCCCTGACCCCCCAGCCTCCTGGCCCTGGATGGCCTCCCCCTTCTCCTCCGCTAGGACAGAGTTTCGCTGTGTGTCTGTAAACCAGTCACTTGCAGCCCCGATCCAGAGCCCACTGACAACTCCTAAATTGGATGAGGCCTGTATTAACCCCATGGCTCAGCTGCAAAGCAGCAGCTCAGGGATAGCTCAGTGGTTTGAGCACTGGCCTGCTAAACCCAGGGTTGTGAGTTCAATCCTTGAAGGGGCCATTTGGGGATTTAGTTGGGAATTGGTCATGCTTTGAGCAGGGGGTTGGACTACATGACCTCCGGAGGTCCCTTCCAACCCTGATATTCTATGAATGGGATCTCTAAGCAGGGTGGCTTTGTAGTGAATTAAGGCACCATGATGGGACTCTGCAAAACTAGGTTCAGTTCCCAGCTCTGCCACAACCTTCCTGTGCCACACTGGGCAAGCCAAGGCACTGCTCTGTGCCTCAGTTTCCCCACCTTTAAAATGGGGTGAAAGATCCTGCTTAGATTGCAGGCTCTTTGGGGGCAGGGACTGTGTCTCACTAGGAGTCCTTCAGCATCTGGCAGAAGAGAGGACCCTGATCTCAGTCAAAGGTCTGTGCAGCACCCAGCACAAGAGAGGCCCAAATCTTGCTCGGGGTCTGTCCAGTGCCGGGCACAACAGGGGTTCCCAGGACTAAGCCAGGCCCTACATAAGGAGTTTACAGACTGAACTATTGACAGGCAATGGATGGAGGAGAACCAAAGGCACAGGGAGGGGAAGACACCGGCCCAAGTGTGACATTGCACCCCAGAAAGCTTTATGGAAATATGCTTACGAATGTATATATGACATAACTCGAATATGTTTTATGCTACATAGGCCATGTAACATATCTCTGCAAAGCTTATGATCTACTGAATCTATTCCTCCTATTTATATGCATGTATCATTTTTGTATTCAAAGTTATGAATATTGGCTGTGTACTTGCTTGATTTTAAGTAGGCCAGTAGAGCATTTGGTCAGCTTCTTGAGAAAGGAATGTGCAAATTAAGTGCCCAATCAAGAACCACTTAAGCCAACAATGAACATGAAGATGCCAATCCACATCTGAGCTTTCCCGGGTATGTGTCTTGGATGGTAAGGAACTCAGTCATACATGAACATGTGACTTGCCCATGTGACTCCAAAACTCCATTTTGTAGCTGGATTCTACACAGGGGGAGGAGGGGTGTCCACCCACAAGAGGAAGTCTATTTAAACCCCTGGGAGACCCCTCCATTTTGTCTTCAGTTGGCTAAAGAGATAGCCTCTCCACCCCAAGGGATACCTGAAAGAAACTGGAACAAAGGACAGTAACTACAGGGGGTGTGAGTGATTGCTGGACCCAGACTAGAAGGAGACTAGTCTGTAAAAGGAAGCTTATTGGAACTCCTCTGAGGGTGAGATTTTAATTGTATTCATTTTTCTTACTGTATTAGACATAGACGTGTGTGTTCTATTTTATTTTGCTTGGTAATTCACTTTGTTCTGTCTGTCATCACTTGGAACCACTTAAATCCTACTTTTTGTATTTAATTAAATCATTTTTTACTTATTAATTAACCCAGAGTATGTATTAATACCTGGGAGGGCAAACAGCCGTGCATATCTCTCTATCAGTGTTATAGAGGGTGAACAATTTATGAGTTTACCCTGTATAAGTTTATACAGGGTAAAATGGATTTATTTGGGGTTTGGACCCCATCGGGAGTTAGGCATCTTAGTGTTAAAGACAGGAACACTTTCTTAAGCTGCTTTCAGTGAAGCCTGCAGTTTGTGGGACGTGGTTCAGACCTGGGGCTGTGTTTGTGGCCGGCAAGCGTGTCTGGCACAGCCAGGCAGGGCTCTGGAGTCCCAGGCTGGCACAGCAGGGAAAGCAGGGGCAGAAGTAGTCTTGGCATATCAGCTGGCAGTTCCCCAGGGGGTTTCTGTGATCCAACCCATCACACCAAGTTCACAGTGGAGGCCAGCGCTGGGAACAGAACCCAAGTGTCCTGATCTGCAGCCAATACCTTTATCTAACGGCCCCCAAGCAGCGTCTCGCTTCTACCCTATGGGGCAGGGGGAGGGAACATCAAAGGAAAAATAACCCCAGAATAAATGAACTGAAGTTACTCATGGTTATGGTCCCAGCGGTGTCAATACACTGCGTCTCAGGTCCAGTACACGCTATGGTTTGTTCAATGCATTGACCAGCGTTCAACACGTAGCAGCCACGGCAGCGCCGGCCGTTGGGTTTCGTGTCAGCCGGGGGCACTGGGAAGAAGCGGAGCAAACGCAGTCAGCTCGGGGGACGAGCCCCAGGCGGCGTCGGGGCAGGGAGAGCAGCTGGGGGCTGCACAGCTCAGCCCTGGGCGCTCTCTGCAGGGGGAGCTGTAGCTCCGGGGACGCCGGGGGCAGCAGGGGCCGGGGAGAGGTTTGCAGCAGGGACCCCTGGACCTCGCCCTGGGTGGGGTCAGCTGGGTTCACACCTGGTGGGAGCCTAAAGCCCCACCCACTAAACTCCACCCATCCTGGGGCTCAGCGTTATTCCATGGGGTGGCCCCTGCAGGGCAGGAAGACCAGGGTCAATAAGTTAATATGGGGCAGGTTCCAGGCAGCAGGAGGTGCAGAGGATGGGGGAGGAGAGGCGGAGATGGGGAGAGGTACCTGTAACTGTGGTTGTTCTGCAGGCGTCTCCAACGCAGCAAACCATGCTCGTCCTTGTTGCCATTCCATACCCAAAATTCATAGAGATGGGGCCGACTTTACAGTCGCTGGATGGCATACAGCCCTTGAGAAAGCTCTGACTCTTCACTCCCGCTGCACAAGAGGAGAAGTCTGAGATTTGTTCCCCTTCCACTCCCACCCCATCAATGTCCTCTGCACAACAATGCCCTGTGCCATTATCCTTCGTCTGCCTATGGGGAAACTGAGGCACGGAGAGGAGAAGTGACTCACCCAAGGTCCCACAGGGCACGACAAAGAGATAACAGCACCTAAACCCAGCACTTAGATCCTCCAGCTCCCCACTCAGCTGCCACCTAACCCTGGGGGCCCCGAATCTCCTTCCCAGAAAGTCCTTTCGCTGCCAACGTTCCCACCAGGGGGTACGTGCCGGGCCGCCGAAATCCCAACACTGGGCGTCCAGCCACCCCTTAGCCGCGGCGGGATTCACAGACTAGGTGTTCCCCTGACGATATCACCTGCAGGGCCGGAGCCAGGGGATGCCTTCGGAGCACGCCCACCAGATCCGGCCCTGCACTAAGTCCAGCTGAGGGAGGAGATGCTGGGTTGCTCCCCCCGGATACCCAGGAGCCCAGTGGGTCGGACGCTTCCCGTGGACGTGGGGGAATCAGGGTCCAGGGAACGATTAACTATTTAATACAACGTGTGGCATTTTCAACAGGGGAGACCCACCCAGAGGCCAGGGGGCCAGGCAAGACCGTAGGAAGGGAGAGATCTGGGCTGAAGTCCCCAGCCTGATTTTGGCCAAGTGGAGATTTGAACTTGGCTCCCCCAGGGCCAAGCAACTGGGGTCTCCTGTCAGCCACTCCTCCAATGCCGTCTTCTGCCAGGAAGGGTTGACCCAGTTCAGACACCCAACTACCGGCAAGGGGTTCCCAGCTGTGGATCTCAACCAGAACTGGGCGCCTCCATGAAGCTAAGAGGTAGGGCCAAATTCCGAGTGAGGGGCGGGGCTTAGGCCACACCCCTCTCCTCGGCGTTTCCTATTGGCTGGCTTAGGCGGCTCCTGCTGGCTGTGCTGGCTTTTGTGGATCCCATCCTGAGTGGGCCCCAGCCCACGGGCTGGCTAGTCACCTGGACTGATTCCCAGGCGCAGCTACAGTGGACACATGTGGCCACCAGAGGCTTCAACTGCAGCCGCCGTGACTTTTGGGGTCCCAGAGCCCCTTCCCCAAGCTCCTGGCACCAGCTCTGCCCCCTGGAGCAGCACTGTGGGGGCGGTGGTGTTTCCTTAGAGTGCCGTAGGGAGGCTGGCTCTGTCCGGGGGAGGGAGGATCTGGCTTTCTCTCCTCTCCCCCTTTGCCATGGATGAACTAGAAAATCATTCCCTGATATTTACGACGGCTTTGCTACCAAAAGACTCTGAATCGCTTTTTTACAGCAAACTTCTGTTCAGTTCATACAGTTCATCGCAACTGTGTCACGTTGGTGGTATTCTATCTAGCACCTCTTCTTCTTCACACCGTCCGGGTGTCTGCCTGTACTGACACGGCACATCAAACTGTCGCCAGGACAGTGTTTGAACTGTAAAAACTGCAGCCACTCTGAATTTGCTGGGCCTTTCATGTGAGACCCACTGCTTGCAATACTAAGACTGAGACCCCTTTGGTGTACTAGCCCACAGGATGCAGCACAAAACCCAGGAGTCCTGGCTCCCAGCCATTGCCTGTTTGAACCCAGCCACCCCACTCCCGTCCCAGAGGAAGGTGTAGAACAGAACCCAGGAGTCCTGGCTCCCCAGCCTGTTCCCTGACCCAGGCTGGTTAGGGTCCATCTCACCTACCCTGTATGATTTCGGTAAGAGCGAAGGCACAAGAGTCTTCCCCAACTGGGCAGGTCTGCATGCTGCCCGTGCAGCTGTTTCCTGGTCCATTGCAAACCTCACACTGCAGACAGGACCCTGGAGAAAGAGAGAGAACATGACAGGTCTAGATTCGTCCCTTCCTTGCCCCCTCACTTTCCCCTGAATTTAACTGACCCCAGCTGAGGATCTGGCCCCATTGACACCAGTGGAGCCACAGCCCACTGACCCCAACTGGGGATCATGATGTAGAAATGCCTTTCATATTGCCTTGAGCTCATGTGCGTGAAATTCGGATCTGTTTCCTTTCAGACAAACTCATGGTGCAAATCCCCTTTCAGGAATGTCCCTGCTTTCTGGCCAGCTCTGAAACGTGCCCAGTCACGACTCGGTTCTAGTGAGTTAAAGTGTAAATATTTCCTCCCATTTCCACAATTGTTTCACTCGCTGTCACGGGGACTTTGTGACTTCCAGCCCTCTCCTCCTCAGGGCGGAGAGTTCCATATCCACGTGGTGCTCGGGCACCAGCAATATTCAGAGCCAAGGGCCCAGCTTCAGCAAGACTTGGTTTGTCCCTCCCCCCCGGCCCCGAGCTGCTGCCCCCGCCCCCGCCCGCCTTTCACGGGCTCCCTGGAGCAGTGTCCCTGTCTCTCCCCTGTGCCCCCCATCTCCACTGCCAGGGCAGACTGACTCTGAGCCTGCCCTTCCCCCTCAGACCCTTCCCTTTTCCAATGGGACCCTCCAGCAGCACGGGGGGCCCCCTTGCCTGTAGTCACTGCTCCTGCCCCATGCTGGGCAAGGAGGCAGCCCCATCCCTCACCCCCAGTGAGGCTGCAGTCAGGGGCAACAGCAGGGGAGGAGACGCACGCAGCGCCCCCCGGCACCCACCACTGGGGAGGCGAGGGAGATTCCTGGACCTGAGAGGGGCCCTAGGAGCTCATGGAGTGACAGTGGTGGGGCTGAATGTTCTGCTGGGGGGGCAGGAAAGGGGGGCTCCTCCCCCCAGAGCTTGCTGCTGCCGGCAGGGAAAGGGCTGGGGGGAGTACTCCTCTCTGGCCCCTGTCCCAGAGCAGCCTGCCTGGACCCCAAACTCATCCCCAGCTCTGCCCCACCCCAGAGCCCACACCCCCAGTCAGAGCTTTCACCCCCCCACCGCACCCTCAACCCTCTGCCCGAGCCCTGAGCCCCTCCAGCACCCCAAACACCTTATCCCCAGTCCCAGCCAGAGCCCTCA